CCCTCATCCAGGTCATTTATAAAAATGACAAACAGCAGTGGCCCCAAAACAGATCCTTGAGATACACCACTAGTAACTGAACTCCAAGATGAACATTACCCATCAACCACCACCCTCTGTCCTCTTACAGTTAGCCAATTTCTGATCCAAACTGCTAAATCACCCTCAATCCCATGCGTCCGTATTTTCTGCAATAGCCTACCGTGGGGAACCTTATCAAACGCTTTACTGAAATCCATATACACCACATCAACCGCTTTACCCTCATCCACCTGTTTGGTCACCTTCTCAGAGAACTCAATAAGGTTTGTGAGGCACGACCTACCCTTCACAAAACCATGTTGACTATCCCTAATCAAATTATTTCTTTCCAGATGATTATAAATCCTATCTCTTATAATCCTTTCCAACACTTTACCCACAACCGAAGTAAGGCTCACTGGTCTATAATTACCAGGGTTGTCTCTACTCCCCTTCTTGAACAAGGGGACAACATTTGCTAGTCTCCAGTCTTCTGGCACTATTCCTGTAGACAATGACGACATAAAGATCAAAGTCAAAGGCTCTGCAATCTCCTCTCTAGCTTCCCAGAGAATCCTAGGATAAATCCCATCCGGCCCAGGGGACTTATCTATTTTCACACCTTCCAGAATTGCTAACACCTCCTCCTTATGGACCTCAATCCCGTCTCGTCTAATAGCCTATATCTCAGTATTCTCCTCGACAACATTGTCTTTTGTCTTTTTTCTCTGCAGGTGAGTCTACATTCAGGAAGAACTTGTAGAGAACAACTTTCAACAAAAGCCCTCAAGTAACTACTTAAACACCATTTATGAGCCTCATAGCACTGCCACTAGCATTCACCTTGCAGCAGGTAGGGGACTTCCCAGGTGGAGGGACTCAGTGAACCTTGTTGGGTTTGTCCACAGCTCAGTAGGGCAGATTCTTTTAAGGCGCACAATGCCTGTAAATTGAGGGACAGTGCATTGAGAAGGGGGTGTCACTACCGAAAGCCAACCCACTTTGCCCTTGCAGTTGACCTCGTTCCTGTCCATGGTGGCTCTCTCAACACCTGCCATTCCTGAAATCCCAACCTCCTCAGATTGACCTCTAAATGAGAATCAGTGGTGACTCACAACTTAGGCCTGTATGTCACACCAGTAGTGGCCAGAACTCTTGGTGGTCTTGCTCATACTAGAGGTTTTTAAAATGTTTTCTTTCACGAGATGTGGGCGTTAAGCCAGCATTTTTGAACCCATGTCTGATTGCCATAAAGAAGATTTTTTTAACTGCCTTGATGAACCACTGCAGTCTGATAGTGTAGGTACACACACAGTGTTGTGAGGAAGTTTTATATGTGCTGCCACTAACACCTTCTAAATGTACATTCTTCAAGGACCCATATTATTTAGTCTGAATAAAGATTATTCTGGTCTAATTAAAGAAATCTCTTGTAGTAAACAAAATATAGGTCATTGCATCTCTGCAACAATTTGTGTATTAGAGATGTGATATAGATTATAGATGATTAGACTGTTAGGAGAGCCTGGTTTTCGATCTGACTCCTTCAAGATTCTTAGTTACTCTCCTGTCCTCATCACAGTGGGTGGTAGTTATGACTCTTAATCAGTATAAACCCTTCCAGCCTTATATACAACATCTGCCTCCAAGTTTCTTTATTTCTCATTATATTTGTCTATACATTAGCTGATATAATTACATTTACCACTATCCCATCTATCCCCAAGTCTTTAACTTAGAAGTTCAGGCAATCTGAAGATTTTATTATTCCCCACAAACATATTCTCTTGGTCATAGAAGCATGGTTGATTGTTCAGTAAAAGGTAGTTTTCTTGGATTGTCTTGCAGCTGTACTGCAGTTCTGTCTGAACCAGTGAACTGAACTTGAATATCTTACATTTCTTTCGTAGAGGGCATCATCACTGCTACCGCTGGCAATCTTTTTTTTTTGCAATACACTGAATCATTGAGATATTGTTCATCTCTTGTTAGTGGTGGCTTCCATGTTTCCATGCACCACATCTTCAATCAGTTTCAGTGAGCATTACTTCTCAAATTGCCTGCAGATCGGTTCTTGAGAAGAGAAAGCTATCATTTCAATTTTAATTAATTTGGACTTTGTCATTTGCCATTAGTGATGAAAACAATATGTTCACTTTTTCAGTTGTTGAAATTGAAGATTGTCTTGCTTGATGTGATATCCGTAACGGTGGATGAGGATTCTTCTTTGAAAGGTGAAAGAATGTCAGATATTCAACTTGAGCTTGACTCTTCCTAGTCATCTCAGCATCTAATATGTGTCTTGTATCATAAACAGTTGTTAACTGTGCCATGTTGCAATCTGACTCAATTCATTTGCAGATTTGTCCATTTTTTTCCAAGGATTGTATACTGTTTATTGGCTGTGTCTTTGATTCGTTGTTTCTTGACCTTTTGTAGTTTAACCTTTTCTGCCTTTTGAGCGAGATGGAGGTTAATTTGCAACTTTCTGCTCAGGATCGAGAATCCTTGGTTGTGAAGTACATATAGGCTTGCTGGTATTTGCTGGTCACTATACTGGCGAATTGCTGATCACATTTCTTTATTACTGACTGCAATGCCCCTGGCTTAAGCAGTCATACTTCTGTTAGCTGTAAAGAGTGTTTTCTCAACCAAAGCTTGCTATATGATAACGTGACACTTGCACTGATGTCTAACTCTGATGTTTTTCTATAGTCATCTTGGATCTGCAGATTTCTTCCAGCATTTCTTATCAAGTCTGAAATATATTAGCATTCTTCGAACTACGCTTCAATGTTGCCACAAGGTATCCTCCTCTTGGGCTCATCAGATCTCTACTGATGAGCTTCCCAGCAATGCTTATAAGGCTATATCAGTAGGAAGGTCAGTCTTCAAATCCCATTGAGATTTCCTTTGCAGATTACTGTTTTATCATGAAGCTAAAACAAATCTTCAGATCTAATGCTGCCACCATATTTTCTGTGCTGTCTCCAATCCATCCCTCAAGTATCTGTGGGGTCTACTAGGGATAAGTATAGTCACTTTTTGATCTAACTAGAAACATCTCTTGTAATAAACAAGATACAGGTGCATTTCTGCAACAATTTAGGCATTACAAAGATATCGTATATATTATTAGAGACTGTTAGGTCTAAGGTAACACTCCTTCAAGATCCTGAGTTACTCTCTCCACTAGTCCTCATGGCAGTATCATAGTGGGTGGTGCTTATGGCACTCAATGTGTATTAACCCTTTCAGATCCAAATGACTGAAAGCACTACCAGGATTTTGACCCAGCGACAGGAAGGGCCATCAAAATATTTCCAAATCAGGTTAGTGTGTAGCTTGGAGAAGAACTTGCAGATGGAGTTGTTCCCATCTGTCTTCTGCCCTTGACCTTCTGATTGGCCACCCTACTGAGCATTGTTTGCATGGGAGGCCTGATAGTGTCCAGCTAACTGCTTACTGCCTGGTTATTGTATAGGTCCTTCAAGAAAGAAGCAACATGGGATTTTCCAACAAGTTCCAGGGTTAAAGTTAAATTCTGCTCAACATCTGCTACACTTAGATTCATGCTTTTGGTCATACAGAAAAGGGCAGAAAACTAAAACAAAAACTTTCACGTAAAAAGGAGCACCTACCCTGCTTGCAACAACCAGCTGTACAAGTCCTGCTGCTGATCGAAGTAGTGCCACTGCCTCTTGGTGAGAGAGTCCAACCAGTGACTGTCCATTAATCATTAGCAGCTCATCACCAGATTTCAGTCTTCCATCCCTGGTAGAAGAATAGGGGAAAACCACTAAACAAGTGATCAGGCTGGACAATAACTTTTAAAGAGTAGACATCATGCATAACATGCTGACATTACAAAATTACATTACTTCAGCATATTTTTTTGGACATGCTGAGGTGTGAAAATTGTATAACAATGATCATTGAACTGATTACACAATCCAGATTCACCAAAATCTGATTGGTTTAGATTCATTCACTAAATCTTGAAAATTCCAATGCATCAGCTTTACTTTTTGGAACCCTTTGCTTTAAATGGAATGGTGTGAATAATACTGAAATTACAGCATTACACTTAGCACTTCACATGTACTCCCCAAAAATGTTGCCTGCTGACTGGATGCCATCTGTTGTTGCAGACAAGTGTTAGAGATGATTTTATTTAGAATATTAATTTTTTAGCTGGAGAGTTGATCTGGGGTCTGGTAAGTGAATGGGGAGTGGAGATGCACACTCAGGTTGAGATTACTTCCTCAATATCTGGGGAGTAATCTTGTTTGAACTGAGTTTCTGTCCCATGGTCAACATGGTTCCATCAAGAGTATAGGCTCTCTTAGGTTGGACGTGCATCTTTCCCTTCTTTGGTACTCTAATTAGAGCATGCATAATTTCAATTGAGTGTGAAGGGGATATTATGATGATACTATGGCTTCAAGAGGTGCACTTTGTCCTGTTTCTTTTATGAAGAGAGGCTGAGACAGAGTTGTCAAGCCTTCTGTTCTAAGCCAATAGAGTAAACAACTTGTGGGGCCTTGGGGCTCTTTTTAAAAGTTGGAAGAATACAACCTGCATGAAGGGGTGGGGTCAAGCTCCCAAAGAAACAGCATCTTAGTTTAATTTTCAGTAACTGTTGGGGTTTGGAAGCTGCTATACATCTCTCCCTGCTATAGCAAAATATTTCAGTTCTCTCTGAGTTTTCTCTTGATGTTCTTTCCTCCTGGACTGGAGAAGTGCATGTGAGACAATTTGCCTTTGCCAAGGGTATGTTTATGGGATGTTATTTTATTGGAACAGTTGCCGCTTAGTAGTTAAATAATCTATTATTCTGTTAAGTTTTCCAATAGAGTTAAGTTATTCCAATTCTTCTTCCTTTTGTTTGTATTTTAACTATAGTCTAAGAACAAAGTGAGTTTTGCTTCAAGCCCAGTAGTTTGACCAATCGAATTTCATTGGAAACACAATGCTTTACACTTGCCTTTAAAAATAAGAAAAAGTTGGGGTCTAAGCTATCTTCTGAATACATCTTGAGGAGGTTTGGTCATAACAATATAATGTTTCATAGTTTTTAGGGCCATTTATTTTGGTGGGATTTCCCAGCCGAGGGAATGAATTCTAGTAAATGGCAATTTTTATTTTGAACAGGTGGTGCATGCAACATGACATGGAGCGTTGGAAGATGATTGCAGAAGATCTGGAAGATAGGAAAAAAAAGACCGTTGTGCAGAGATGAAATTTAAGAGGAGTGATTGCTGAATTGCAGAGCATCAGGAAGATAGGAAAAAAAAAGACCTTTGTGCACAGATGAAATTTAAGAGGAGTGATTGCTGAGTGTAGTCCAATCATGAGAAGGGAAACAGATTACATTGGGAGGGTGTAGAGATCAAGAAGTGGACTTGCATCAGGGGAAGCAGTCCTGTTGTTGAGGGAGCACTGCAGAGATGATGGCCTAGTGATATTATCACTGGACTGTTAACCCAGAGATCCAGATAGTGTTCTGGGGACCTGGGTTCCAATCCCGCCATGGCAGACAGTAGAATTTGAATTCAATAAATGTCTGGAATTAAGAATCTAATGATGACCGTGAATCCATTGACACTTAGCTACTGAATGAATTCATTCTCATATGAAACCTTCAGCAGGTGCCTTCTACCTAGGCATTTCTGCTCTCATCATCTCTTCTGCTGCTGCATCACCAATGCATTTTCACATATACTGCTAGGCTTCCTCCTCAGAGTGGGAATCTGACTACTAATCCATTATGCATTTGCAATGAATCAAGTCCCAGAAAACTGGTTGAGACCAGGATGTAAATGAAGATATATGGACAAATGCACAAACACATTGAGGAGACCATCCACATTAGGTCTGCAAATCTGACAGATTTGCATATTCACATAATGTTCATCCTTAAATTAAAATGGTTCCAAACAACAATAATTTTAATAGAGCTCTTCCGTTTGCCAAGCCTGGTTATATGGCTGCGTTCTCATTGCATTCTCTTACTTTCTGTAAGTGCTCAGTGAGATATAAGGGACTGAAAAGAAATGAATCATTTTTTAGTTGAGAAGCTAACATTTAAGTCAAGGACTTTCAGATGTTCACAGTCAAAGGTTATCAAAGGTAGGTCAGAATGTGGAATTATGGCCATGATCTTATTGAATGGCAAAGTAGGTTTGAGAGACCAAATGACCTAACCCCTGCCCCTAATTCTGAAGTACGTATATCTGAATTGCATTTTTTATGTGCATCCAATTAATCAATCTTATGAAATATAACAATGCCAACTGACAGAAATGAATGCTTGCATAAGCAGATATGCTCACATCCCATGAATGAATTTTAAAAAAGCTAACTGGAAAATTCAGATACATTATACCTACTTACGGCTACTAAAACAAATTAGATTACAGTTTGTTTTTAACAGTTTCTATCTAATTAAACATCTGCAATCTAACACATACTTTTTAGAATGATAATGGTATCAGACTAATAAAGATAAAGATAATTTGATTCATTTGCCATGTGTTCTATTGTCAGTCCCATCATTGACAGCACTTGGTGTTGTTCCTACCATTATCCAGGTTACCAGGTTACACTACCAATACAGTTGGATATAAACTAGAATTTATGACTGTGTCAAACCAGAAGCAACTGATAGTCATAAGATAGCAGAGGTGCCAACAGCAACAAGACGACATTAGGAAGACTGAGTATTAGTATAAACTGAAGTGGTTTGACGCACAGCATTAGAACCACTTTTGGCAACGGTTCTAAAGTTGCCAACATTCTGGATTGAGCGTTATTTATTGTCTGGCTCCAAGAACTATTTCCTCTGGATGTGCTCCTGTTTCACCCCATTAATTGGATACTTGTGTTTCAAAAACCAGTTAGTTACTTAAAGTCTTAGTTATGACTTCCATGTTGCTGTTTGTTTTACTGCCAAGAAAAGGACACGCGTTTCACAGAGGTCAATGCAAGCTTATTAAAGGATTTCCTGTTTGAACTGAAGGGCAGTGTGGCTTTCTGGATTGTAATTCATAACTACAATCCAATTAAATAATCTACCGTTTAACTCCTGGAGCTCAGCAAACAGTCAAGACCACAGTGAGCTGCAAACCTTAAAGGGAAAAGATACTAACAATATTATCATCTAATTCAGGCTAACACTGCAGTGCTAATACTGTGGGAGTTGCTGAACTATCAAAGGTGATGTATTTTCAATGAGAAGTTTAACTGGTAAATAAAAAGGGTCCAATGACACTAATAAAGATTCCGGGCATCATTTACCCCTCAGCTAACATCACTAAAACAGGTTATCTGCTTAGATACCTCATTGTGATTTGCAGGATTTGCTAACCACAAATAAGATAGCACATTTTTTTCCCTATAATAATGGCAACTACTTCAAAGGCTCCCTTTGCTTGTGAAAGGCTTTGTGATAGACTGCAATTATGATTGGTGCTTTTTAAATATGAAAACTTTCTTCCTTTTAATCTAGCACTATTAATTGGTTGAAAAAATGGGCCTAGACCTCTGGATCCTGAATGTACGTCCCCAAGATACGGGTTGAGATGCCACAGAAGTCCCAATGCAGTGACTCGACAGGAATTGCCTAGAAGTTTCAACTTCCAATGGGCAAGTCTCCCAGCTCTCCAAGACTCTTTGAAATTGTCTTTGGGCAATATGATATACTTATCTGCACAGTTACTCAGGAAAATATAGACGGAAAAGTCCTGATCCAATTCTTGGGCAACTATACAATTAACCCCCTGCTGGCTTACCCTCATGAACACTAAATTCTACCATGGGCCCACTCTGAAAACTTCCCATGACACCCTAGATTCTCACTGACCTACCCACCCCTAAATCTCAATATGCCCAAGTCCCCACCCCTCCCCCGCCCCCCCATAGCCAGCAATAACCCTCAGCTCCTCTCGACACTATGGCATCCCCAGCTCCCTTCATCAAACAACTTGTCCAATCCCAGAACCCTGATACTGATTCCCAATTCCTTCTATCCAAACAAACCTGACTTCACTAGCTGACAACTCGCCCCTGAACTCAGACTTCCTTGTGGCTGCGCCCCCAACCTAATCTAATCCAAGTTCACCACCCGATGACCCTCATTCCCTGATCTCTTGACTTCCCCACCTAACCTAACCTGACCCAACCCGACCCATTGGACCGGACCACTGACCTCCCACAGTGAAGTAGAAAGTAGTTCCCAAGTCCACCTTTGCTAGCAGGGACTGGTTTGGCCTGTAAATTAGCCAGCTGCTAGTCCTCCACTCAGTTATAGTAAGCAGGATCAACATGCTGCCACCTCAACAAGAGGTCTGACAGACCTGAAATTTCAGTAGCATTACCAGAAGATACAGTTACTGCTGAAGAATGTGCATCAGGAGTTTGGATGGGTAAGTTTTTGAAAAAGCAGAAGAAATTCAGCAGGCTAGGGGTTGAACAGAAAACTCATATGGGGACTTCAATGGGATAGCAGGCAGTACCTTCCCGGTCCTAAATTCTGATTATACCCGACTATGTAGCTTGTGTATTCTGATAGCCCTGCGTGAAGCTATGGTCTGATAATGTGGAAAACATGTCAATTAAACGAAGGGTCGAGGCCCAAAACGTCAGCCTTCCTGCTCCTATGATGCTGCTTGGCCTGCTGTGTTCATCCAGCTCTACACCTTGTTATCTTAGAAATTATCTTCATCAGGTTTATATCATGACCATTCTGAAAGACACATAATTCTTTGTAGATACTTAACTACTGTAGCAAAGTTTATAAAGTTTGATCTATTTTGTTTCCAAAGCAATAAAAGGATATAACACGTCAGGACTATTCAGAGTGCATTTCTGTCAACAATGATCTTGCATTATTTTTATTTCAACATATTGATTAATTCAGTCCTCCTCATTGGGAAGTTCAGTCTCTGCTTTGATGGTTCCTGGAGTTACAGGGAGGCTGCCTCTATTAGAGTGGCAATTTTTCAATCTGATGGGGTTCACTATGTTGCCTGCAAAACACCAGTGGCCCGGTAAAATGATCCCTACCAGGGCCTTTAACTATCTTCATCGTCCACCTGCCTCCATCAACCAGGCCCCCCATGCTGCATTCAGTCCTCTCACTCTGGTAGCAGCAATGCATCAGGGAGTTGTCCTGACACAATTCTTACTATTTTATCATCACCCTCTCCTCCCAACTGATAAAATTTGGGAGGTGTCAAAATCATTTAAAAACTGAAACAGCTGCGGATGCTGTAAATCAGAAACAAAAACAGAAATTGCTGTAAAAGCTCAGCAGGTCTGGCAGCATCTGTGAAAAGAAATCAGAGTTAACATTTTGGGTCCAGTGACCCTTCCTGAGTCAGGGTCTGAGAAAGGTGACTGGACCCGAAACATTAACTCTGATTTCTCTCCACAAGATGCTGCCAGACATACTGGGCTTTTACAGCAATTTCTGTTTTTGTGTCAAAATTATTTAACCAAACGAACTCTAATAAAAATGTAAACAAGCCTTGATTTGCATTTCTTGATTATTTCATGTATGTTTCAGAGCAGTTAACTACTAAGTAACATTGGTTAATTTTGTCAAGTACAGTGACATATTTGCTATTGTCCTGGTACTAAAGCTTACCTTTGCGCTGCTCCTCCTTCTTCAACATATGTAACAATGATGCCATGGGGTGAACGTTTGGATCCCCGACCTCCTGTAATCTGAATACCAAGTCCGTCTGAGCCTTTCACCATGTGCATCTTCCAAATTTGGCAACCTTCCCTCTGGAGGAAGGGGAATTAAATAAGAGTGTTGACAATTAATAATTATCCATTGCAATGTTTCTTTTAAAGAACAAATATATTGTGCGTCAGTGTTAATGTCTGCCATTTTTAGGCCTCACCCACAGATGATGACCAAAGAAAATGTGCACATCCTGGAGACTGAGACCCAGAGGCTAGTTCACTGGACAGAAGGCTTTTGGTATGTGGCCACCATTCATCCAATCAGTATGACCAAGGCAGTGCAGGTATCGTTGGCCAAAAATACAAAGTTGCTGGAAAAGTTCAGCAGGTCTGGCAGCATCTGTGAAGGAAAAAAACAGTGTTAACATTTCGGGTCCGGTGACCGCTCCTCTGAGGGTTCCGAGGAAGGGTCACCGGATGCGAAACGTTGACTCTGTTTTTTCTTTCACAGGTGCTACCAGACCTGCTGAGCTTTTCCAGCAACTTTGTTTTTGTTCCTGATTTACAGCAGTTCTTTCGGTTTTTAAAGAGCAGGTATCATTGTTTTAACAATAAGTGTATGCTCATGGCATGTGCATCCTCCAGGAATTCTGAACTGGTGATCTTGTCCTGCAAAGAGATTCTAAAGATATGTCGCAGACAGTGAAGACGGCGTTGGTTCAGTCTTTTCTCTTACCTTATACAAATTGTCCAGTTCAAGTGAGATATGAAAATAGCAGAAGTTGACACTAACAGCTGAGGAAGGGGGTGTGGTTGGGTTTATTGACCATGACTTTTGGAGGATGACTGTTTGGAAGAGCAATGGAAAGGGTGACCAAAAATGAAAAGCTCAGCTGCATGAGAAGCAAACCCAGAGAAAATGAAGTCCAGTAAAACATGACTCTTCTCTGTTTTCCTCTACAACAAACACAGCAGAGACAGCTGTGCCAGTAGGACTCCTGAGCCACATGGGTGATACTAAACACAGTTTACCACCATGGTACAAATCATCATCTAATGAGATGGAAAGCTGTTGTGTAAATCCATGAGACAGGTATATTCTTCTAGACTCTAGTCCCATTGAAGGTTTCTTTAGTGAACCATACAGCTAATGTATCAAATAATAGGGAAATAAAACTATAATGCAGTAAAACTGAGGACAGAGATTGAGACAGGACTGAAGACAGGGAAAGCCAGAAGAATAAGATACTTCTGCTTTTAAGTTTAGTTGCTGGTTGCAGAAGACCACTTATTCATCTAAAAAATTAATGCAAATATAAAATTCTGAAAGAAGTAGATTTTCTAACTGGCTTTCTGTCTGATTCCTTGATACTATATGCATGATAGATTGGAGTTCAGGCACATTAAACTTTTGGAAGTAACGGCAATAATGCAGCTAGGTTTCCTAATCAAAGAAGAGTTGATTGGAATCTTATAGGGGTCGGGTTATGAGGGCTGTGCAATATGTGTAGCAGGCTCAGGAGAGAGGTTTGGTGAGACCAACCTCAATGTAATGAGCATCTTGCTCCATCTCCTATGCTTTTTCATAAACAACTTGGAAAGTTTCTTGCTAGATGATGGTGAGCTGCTAAATGGTGGGGAATATTATTTGTTAAATCCCTTATTGACGGCCCAGCTTACCTCATTAATATTCAGTTTTCCACCTTACCAAACTCACCAAACAAACTCAATATTGAAGTCGGCAGAGGTACCTGGAAAATTCTTGCTTGCTCCAGGGACTCAGAATCAGTCAGTCAGTCAGCCACTCAAGATGGTTAGAGTCAGGATGCTGGCCACATCAGGAGTAAGGAGCTGAATGTTGGAGAGCCCACCACCCGTTTTGACTCTTTCTGCCCTATTCTGGGCTGTTTGCCTTATGGAATGAGACAGGGGCAGGTATTAAGGGAGATGGAAGTGGATGGCACCGCTCTTATTTTTGGTGCAGGTGGTGAGGAATTCCAAGCGAGCAAGTAGGCAGTGCAGACGCCTTGCAGGGTTAGTGGTATCGGGGTTGGGTGGGAAACAGTGAGGGAGGAAAGATGTTGCTGGTGATACTAGAAGTGGTAGAGCATGAGCCTTAGTGGGAGATGGCTACAGCAGCCAGGATATAGGGAGTATGAAGTAGTGGAGAGAAGATGGTGGTACTTGTGCTAGCAAAGGTCTTTTTCTTACACTGCTGTGCATTCCATCAGATGGCTAAGACTGCTTTAACCTGGATGGCAACCTCAGACCAAGCTGGCACAGTTTGGTGCTACGCCATCCACTGCTGGTCCTGGGGGAGGAAGGACCCCACTTGCTGTTAGGAAGGAGGATGAACTAGAAATTTTGAAAAACATGAGGATAGATATCCCTTAGCCCAGACGGGATATACCCAAGGTGACTACAGGAAGCGAGGGGAGAGATTGCTACCCCTTTGGCAATGATCTTTGCATCCTCACTGTCCACTGGAGTAGTACCAGATGTTTGGAGGGTGGCAAATGTCATTCCCTTGTTCAAAAAAGGGAATAGGGATAATTCTGGGTCAGTCTTACGTCTGTGGTGGGCAAATTATTGGACAGTATTCTGAGAGATAGTATTTATGATTATTTGGAAAAGCACAGTTTTATTAGAAATAGTCAACATGGCTTTGTGAGGGGCAAGTCATGCCTCACAAGCCTTAGTGAATTCTTTTGAGGATGTGACAAAACACATTGATGAAGGTAGAGCAGTGGATGTGGTGAATATGGATTTTAGCAAGGCATTTGATAAGGTTCCACATGATAAGCTCATTCAGAAAGGAAGGAGGCATGGGATTCAGGAAAATTTGGCTGTCTGGATACAAAACTGGCTGTCCAACAGAAGACAGAGGGTGGTAGTAGATGGAAAGTATTCAGCCTGGAGCTCGGTGACCAATGGTGTTCCTCAGGGACCTCTGCTCTTTGTGATCTTTATAAATGACTTGGTCGAGGAAGTGGAAGGGTGGGTTAGTAAGTTTGCCGATGACACGAAGGTTGGTGGAGTTGTGGACAGCGTGGACGGCTATTGTAGGTTGCAACGGGACATTGACAGGATGCAGAGCTGGGCAAAGAAGTGGCAGATGGAACTCAACCCAGAAAAGTGTGAAGTGATTCATTTTGGAAGGTCGAATTTGAATGCAGAATACAGGGTTAATGGCAGGATTCTCGGCAGTGTGGAGGAACAGAGGGATCTTGGGGTCCACGTCCATAGATCCCTCAAAGTTGCTACCCAAGTTGCTAGGGTTGTAAAGAAGGCGCATGGTGTTGGCTTTCATTGGCAGGGGAATTGAGTTTAAGAGCCGCAAGTTTATGTTGTAGCTCTATAAAACTCTGGTTAGACCACACTTGGAATATTGCGTTCAGTTCTGGTCACCTCATTATAGGAAGGATGTGGAAGCTTTAGAGAGGGTGCAGAGGAGATTTACCAGGATGCTGCCTGGGCTGGAGGGTAGGTCTTATGAGGAAAGGTTGAGGGAGCTAGGGATTTTTTCACTGGAGCGAAGAAGGATGAGAGGTGACTTGATAGGAGGTGTGCAAGATGATGAGAGGCATACATAGAGTGGATAGTCAGAGACTTTTTCCCAGGGTGGAAATGACTATTACGAGGGTCATAATTTTAAGGTGATTGGAGGAAGGTATAGGGGAGGTGTCAGAGGTAGGTTCTTTAGACAGAGAGTGGTGGGCGTGTGGAATGCGCTGCCGGCAGTGGTAGTGGAGTCAGATACTTTAGAGACTTTTAAGTGACTCTTGGATAGGCACATGGAGGATAGTAAAATGTAAGGTATTCAGGGTAGTTTGATCTTAGTAGGATAATAATTTGGCCTAACATCATGGGCCGAAGGGCCTGTACTGTGCTGTACTGTTCTACGTTCTAGGAATCATGTCTTTGCACCATCCCATCCAACAGGACCTCCAGGTCCCTGTCTACTCACCGGGGAGCCAATACCCCCAAGTCTGCTATGTCTGGGGCAAATGCCAGGAACTGTGAGGGCAATCTCAGACTTGAAAGTGCTTGTCCTGGTGCACGTCAAGCTTTTAAAGATGGTGCAGGGACAAGAAATGCTGGTGAATTCTGGGATATCTGTGGAATGATGAATTATTCTGGGAACACAGTGTGGTAGGAGGGAGTCGGAATTGGATGGGAGACACGCTATGGGGTACGGTAGGTAATTAATGTCGCGACAAAAGTTGCTAGGCCTCATGGCAAAAACACTCCAAAAACCTTGATGCAACTCAGATTTAACCAAATAAGCACAGAATTCAGCCATTGGTAAATGACTTTAACATGACTTACAATGTGCCAGTATTTTTGACAGAAAATATACTGGGGATCTTTTTGATCTGATACAGTACATCTTGATAAATGAGACCAGTATTCCATTGAGATTAAACATCTGTTTTTTGCTATTTTACTCTCTTCATATAAAATGTTAGGAGTCAAGGTGTAGAGTATTTAAACAAGCATTTTATTATATGCTACATTTTTAAGTAGAAACATTGCAAAGTTAGCAAATTTAAGTAAAGTCTAATTTTATTATCTAGGGAGAAATGATCAATTCATCTTTCTAAAGAGCTATTCCAAGCAGCAATTTAATTGGAAAGTAGAATTTCCTATTTGTGAACAAGCAGCCAAAATGGGGAATCTCAGAATGTGGGAAAATTCTTTTTATAATAAATATTGTCATTACAAGATTTGCAATGTTTATAAGTGTGACAGCATCATTTAAATTGAGGAGTATCAATGTAAGCTCTCCATATTTAAAATGCTTTGATTGTAAAGGTTGAACATAATACATCAAAATAATCAACAGCTGAAAAGTAGTGAATGGAATTTTAACCATACTGTGCCATTCCCAACAGTGGAACAGGAAATAGCCGGCTTACTTGATTTTTTCAGATTTCCAAGAAATTCCAATTCAAATTTAAAGTGCTAGCAATGCGCACCAGAGGCAGGTGCAGTAGTTGGTTGGGGAGACACTTCAGCTCAACGTCCAGTTCATGTGAAGTCCACTGTCAGTTGAAAGCGTTACAGCTCTGAGCAGGCTATCAAAGAGCTTCCTAAAT